TTGGATTTGAAGCTTTTATAATTTGGGGAACCCACTTTAAAAAGGAATACAAAATTGTCAATACAGGATTACTAGGGCTCCTCCTAGGCCTTTGGAAGTACAACTGAATTGTCTTGAAGCATAAGCTTCATTAGTATCAAGGTAAACGTGCTCTTGCGTAAGTTTGTTCTGAGTGAAGGAGAATGGCTAGCCTAAAGTTTCTGGGTTGAGAATTCCAGGACGAGAATGACATGGCCTCTAAGAGGGAAAAGACAAAAACAAAAGGAAGCCCCATGACCAACTTCAGTAATTTATCTGAGTTTTGGGTTTAATTTCCTTGTTTTAGTTCTCTTTATAAAACAATTGTCTTTTTTAGAGTAGCATTCCAGTTTTCAATAGCAACAAGACCCGTGTTCAGTTAGGATCAGATTTCCAGGGCCTCATTTTAGAAACAAGCATAGCTCAAATCATGCCGAGCTTAAGAGCATTCCATAACAAGTGACAGAAGCTTTGCAAACTATGGTCAGAAGGCACATTTCATGACCTTTAGCCTGAGAAACATCAGGTGGCTTTTTGCTTTGTCCCCAGAGGAGTGGCATAGGAAAAAAAATCAAAAGGAGTGGTCTCAAGAGTGTTGGGGATTGTGGCAGAAATCTTACAGTTTCAGAGGTGTCTCCATAAAAAAGAAAGAAAACTTTAAGAAGGTCCATTAACCCAGTGGCTCCCAAAGTTTTCTCCCTCAGCAAGCACTTCCTGAGACTCTTTCAGTTATGATGCCTCAGCCCCTCACAAGTATACTGGGAGATATTGGATCTTTAGTGTTTGCAAGCACAAATGTTTGAAAGTATTTTTTCAAGAAGATTGCTGTATAACCCAAGACCAATAATTGTAGACAGCAACCTTGTCTTAACAGAAGTTGGCAACATATTCATTTTCATGTATGCGATGTCAGAGTAGAGAAAAAACAATAAAAGACAGACCTTTTGTGTGTTTAAATGCTTAATAAATGGTTAATAAAGCATTTTATGAGATTCATTTTTAAAGTGTTTATCAACATTTATATTACCAATCATAAATGTACAAATGAAAAAAGGAAGAAAATGCAACCTAGAATCTTTTGAATCTATATATTTTATAATACAGACATGTTCTTGCAATATACTTTCTCCAGATCACTGTGACTAGCAATTTACATGAAAAACAATGAATATATAGTTATCTGTATACAAAAATGAAGTATTGATTTTGGAGTTATTTTTCCCAAAAGGCATCGCTGGCTGGTCGGAGATGCAGTATTATCAAGGGCTAAAGAATGGAGAGATGCACACTGGCCCTCTGGGAGATCAAACCCATACCCGTGGCACCATGTCTAGAGTACTCCTATCAGCTAAGGTAACTGGTTATAAACTTGCCCTTTAACACCTCAGGTCTGTTAAGCACGATTGCTTACAAATACAGCCTCCTTCAAGACTTCACTGAATAGTTCATTCTCAGCCAAAAAAAAAAAAAAAAAAAAAAGTCCCTGGAAGGAATAGGTATGGATTTTAATATTTTCAAGCATTGAAAATTGCTGGGATTTTTACCACTGGAAGTTTCTTAAGCTTGAAATCCATGATTTTTCCCTGTGAGTTGACCCACTTGATAATCTCTGCTCAAGCAGGTCAGTAGCAGCTCTTGGGCTATAACTGGGTTCCATTTCTTTTTATAAAAGTCCTTGTTATTTCTGTTAGGAGGGCTTGAAGGCTGAAAGGGGGAAAGGGGAACTAGATAGCTCATGGGCCTAGCTAATGTCATCTGATCTCACTTACCCTGAGGCTTTTTTGAATTTGGCTCCTCTTCACACAGCTTAAAATATGCACCAACCCTTCAGTCATTGACTAGTGAGCTCTGGAGTCAGACTGCCTGAGTTGGAAGCCAGTCTCCTCCAATTTCTAGCTGAGAGGCTTTAGGAAAGTTACTTCATCTCTCTGTGCCTCAATTTCCTTGCCAATGAAATTGAGATAATTAAAAACCTGGGAAAATTTTTGACAAAATTAAATGAGATAGTATATACAAAACACTTAGCCCAGAACATATAGCACACATTCAATAAATTTTAGCTATTAAAAAATACCAATAATCGAAAGTTACAAAGCTCTCAGGGTCTTAAGATAACGAATGGATTGGAGGAGAAAGAGATGTAATAAATATAGGACATGTGGATGCTGTTGGCAGCTAAATTATTTCTGGGTAAAACACAACCTGACAAGTTCCTAGACCCTGAATGGACTAGGGTTGTTTTTATGCAGTTTGAGGTCAGGAGAGAAAGAGAGAAAAAAGAACATTTTGAAAGGGGAAATGATGGTTATGGGGGAAGGGAGAAAAGAAGTCCTGAAGTTGGAAAACAAGTGCCCTATTTCAAGGTTTCTCCCAGGGTTAAGCCTCATGCTTGGGGGCCACCTATATGCCTTCTGGTCTGTTAGCAAGGCTGATCTTCCCCAAGTTGGCCACAAAAATTGCCATAATGCCAGCTTACAAGGCAAAGTTCCCATGCTCTTCCATGCCTCAATTTTCCTTGAAAATAATAATAACTTAAAAATGTGTAGGTCCGCTGTCATGTTCTGGTCAAACACCAAGATTCCCGCCCCCCCCCCACCACCACCACGGGGGTCCCGCCTGGCAATGTAGCTAATCCCTATGGAGTCTTGAAGCCGCTAACCCTCCCACGGAGCCTTGCAACCAGAGAGCCCAGTGATCTAGCCTGGATTCTTTTGCCTGGTCTGGACTTGTCTCTTTAGACAGGCTAAAACAGTCTCTGCCATCAGGGGCCACGGGGCATTTCCCTACATCCTACTTTCAGCAAACCGCATTGTCAAAAAAAAAAAAAAAAGTCTTAACTTATGAACACTTCTTCCCTTTAGCAAAGATTCTCTAAAGAGTTCCTTTAAATGTTGTATTTCTTGACTCCATGTTTTGATTTCTGAAAACTAGATATGTATACAAAAGTGTAACTTTCTATTAACTAGCTCACCTGCCCATCTCTAGTCACGAATTGCTGTTTTCAGGCTCATATTTAGCAACATCCAAAAGTTTTTCTAATCACCCAGGAATTCTTAAACTGTGTTTTAGAAGGGCAAGATTTTGTGCGGTGTAGTTGTCAGGATTTGGATTCTTGGAAAATGCAATTTCTGTATGGTTTACATCATATTTGAATTCACATGAAAATTCGTTCCAGAACACCCGAGTTTCTTTGGGGGGTGGTGGTAGGTGGTTTTCTCCGCACCCGTTAACAGAAAATTTATTTAGCGACACCCGGTTCCTCAGACAGGCTGTGGCCATTACAGTTCTCACTGGGACTGGGAGGTTAAGGAATGTAAAGAGGTCAAACTCAGAACTTGAAACAGACACGAAAGAAACAAAATCCACCAATATATAGAGAATAATTACAAAAGTTAGAAGCGTGTGACAGAAATGATGAGTTTCAGGTCGGTAGGAAGAATTATTCATGCAAATCTTCCTAGAGGGAGCAGAAATTTCTTAATTAAAAAAGAAACAGGAAACAAACCCCCCACATTGCGTTCCAACCCCAGAGTGCCGGTGCGCGAACGCAGTTTGTAAGCTCCAGGGAAAGTAAGCAGCTTCGGGACATTTTCTAAAGTGCTCTTTTCAGTCCAAGAGCTTAGAATGCGGTTAGTTTTACGCACCGAATCCCTTTTCCATAAACTCTTCAAGAGGCGCCTTACTTCTTAAGGCTAAATCCCGTTGTCAGATTCTTTTAAAACGTGTGTCAGATCCCCTGCGCGTTGTGGGGGGAAACGGAGGCGAAGAGCCTGGGCGCTCAGAAATGTTTTGCAACGAATGAGCGAATGAATGAACCCCGGCGGAGAGCTGGAGACTGGGAAATTCGCAGGAACTTTCTCTGTGCTCTTCCAACGCAGCAAACTGCAAACTTAGGAACAGGGTAGCTAGGGCTTAAGCGACTCAGTCTCTTAACTTCCAGCACCTGGGAACAGGTGTGGTTCCGACTGAGCAGACCGGACCTGGTACCAACTAGCTCCGGGCCAGAAAAGATGCGGTCCGCCTCAAGGGGACATCGCGGCGTCCTGTCCATGCCGCACTGCCCTTATCCAGTGATTTCGAAGGCCGAGCTGTGGTAGCCCTGCAGGGCACTTGGTGCTCTCCCCCCACCCGCACAGGGGCTTGCCTGGGTCTGATCCCTAACGCAGTGCCAAGTCATTTCCTCGTCTAACTTGATGGGTCTTTGAGTAGATAAAGCAATAAAATCAGAGGAGCAGAAAGAGAAAAGAGACAATTAAAAATGGCACAAGTGTTTCATGGAGAGACGAGGGCGCGGGGCTGTTTGGACTGTGGCAGAGTTGTGAGGCCCAGACTGGGAGCGGCGCGGAGCGGGACCGGTTTTCCGGGGCTGGCAGCTGCCTTGAAAAAGTTTCCTGTGGAACATTCGCCAGCCGGGGCGGGGGCGGCGGGCTCAGCGGTGGATGTGGGAGGGGGCGTGCAGTCGGTGGAGGCCACGAGAGGCCGGCTCGCAAACCGTTATAGTCCTTCAGCACCTCCCTCGGCCAGTGCCCCCCACCCCCCGCCCAGCCCGCCTCCCCGCCGCGCGGCTGCCCACCTGGCGACGTGACGCTGCACCAATCGTCTTCGAGCTGCTCCCGGGGGGCCTCCCTCCTTGTACCGCCCCCCTCCCCACCCTGAAAGAGGCGCACCCTGCCGGGGCAGACAGTGCGCTCTCGCCGGTGGAGCACCCCTCTAAACTCCTTGGTCTCCAGGACCGACGCTCAGGCTCGTCTCTCGCCTTAGCCAAACTTGCTTTCCCGCCTCTCAAACTCCAACTTCCCTTCACTCCTAACTCTTTCCCTCCACTTTCCCCTCCTCTACCTCCCAAGCCATAAACCCTGGTCCCCTGTTCCTTTTCCCCGTCCTCTCTCTTTTCCTCTCCCTTTTCAACTTCTTGTCAGATTCCACCTCAGACTACCCGAGCGTGCCTAACTCAGTCTCCCGCTTTAGATCGGCTTGAAGCCATGGCGGGACCTGGGGGTTGGAGGGACAAGGAAGTCACGGATCTGGGCCACTTGCCGGTGAGTAGAGGACGCCTGTCTCTTCCGAAGTGCTCTCTTCTGCGGGTTCTGAGCACTGGGGTAGGAGACGGACATCCGCAAGCTGGGCTAAGACAGGACTTCGACGGGGCCCCGGGTGCGGGAAGGGACCCTGGAAGCCCGCTTGCGGAAGAGGCAACCCCCGCCGCCCCCAAGGCACCCGGGGCACGCAAACTCTCGAAAAGGCAAAGGGGCGGGCGGTGGGGGAGAGAGAAGAGGTGACAGTGGGGGTGGTGCGGGCCCTAAACTACGGGACATTTTCTAAATGTGGCCCATTTTGTCTACTGGTGCTCGGGTACCTGTTCTTGATGGGCTCCAGGAGAGGCTAAAGAACACGACGACTCATGGCTTCCTGAGAACACTCTTCCCTATCACCCTGCTGCCGGGTCGTTTGTTTCTTTTGCCAAAGGAGATGCCCACTCGCGGAGTGACCTTTACCTCTAGGTGACAGCGGGCTAGAAAACCAAAGCGTTGGAGTCTCACTTCTCTCACTTTATAATGGCGCTTTCCAAAACCTTGTTCTGCCAGGGCACTGTTCCCGATTGAGTATTGCAGGAGCGAAAGCACTCGACGCCGCTTGGGGAAGAAGTGAATTCTGCACATCCCTATTTAAAAAAGAAAATATTGTGATCACTAACTAAACAGAATTAACTTTTTCTCACGGTTTTGGTTTGTGGATTCTCCTTTTTTTCCCGAATGTCCAGCTTTCCTCCAGAATTTTAATTGATTGGTGAGCTATTATCGCTGTCGTTATTAGTAGACTTGTTTTTTAGCAGTGCCGTTTATTTCATTGGCATCTGGTTTCTGGCAGATATTAGATCCCACCCCGCTCCCTTCTTTAAGTTCCCTTTTTAGATTGGCATTTCACTCGCACCCTCTCTTGAATGCAAAGGGCCCCTGGACTCTCTGAAAGGGAATAAGTAAGCATGCACCAGTGCTGGAATGATCGCCAGGCAACTGTAGTTCAAGGCAGTGGCCTACTTGCTTTGGGAAAAGCTAAATATTAACCTTGAGGTTATAGGACTATTCAAAGCCGCGGTGCTTTAATTGTATACATATTTGGTATTTTAAGACTGTGTTCTTGATGAAGGCAGACACCTGTCCCTATCAAAAAATGGGCATTCTCCAAGCCTCACCTATATAGTTTTACGCTAGAATAGTGTAGAGGAGGAAGTAATGCATGTGGGTAACGTTTTAGCAAATTGTGCTCAGCATTAAAAAAAAAGGAACTTAAATATTGACATATTGAATTGCATATATTAGCATTGCTGTTGTTGATACAGCTTTATAAAATAAATCCACAAAATTTTTAAAAGTTAAATATTTTTTCACCTTGCATATGTGAGATTTCTAGGATGTGGAGGCCTCAACTGGTGGTTTCCTTTCTGAACAGAATTTTCTTTTTCTGACTAGGTTTATTGTCAAGTAAAAGTATAAAACCAAGGAATAAAATGTTACCCTTCTCCAACAGTCTCTATGTAGGGTGCAGGAAAGAGATAAAAAAGCAAACTAGGGCAAATATGTGAAATCACAAATAAGTAAACTGAAATAACATTTTCCCCCTAAAATTGACTAAAGAGAGGAATGGGCAAGACCTCACAGAAATAATTGAGCAGGGAATTCCAAACCCAAGGGGAAAAATGTTTTATTGCCACAAAAAAATGGGGGGAAATGGCCCAGACTAACTGACCCGGTCATGGCCCTGGGACGTAAGAACTTGGTGAGAGCTGAGGAGATAAGGGAAAAGGCTGCAATCTTTACATTGCAGTTCAATGGAATATTAGTTTTCTGGGGTTTTATAGGGGTGTGAAGGGGAAAAAGATGAGGTTGGTTTTTAATGTGGGAATACGGAGAAAACAAAACTTTGTGAAAGGTTTATAAAGTCCTCAGTTTCAATAATTTCTAAATTTCTGTTATGCAGTATATCATTGTGGAGGTCTTCACCATAGCAAATTATGCATATTTGTGCAAGTTATGCCTAATTCTCCCCTCTCCCCAAACATCCAGGTCTAAACCCTAAGAAATCTAGCAGAAGGGTAGCATTCTCTTTAGAATTTCCTTACCGTCAAATTTTTAGAGTTGCAAAAAGTTCACGTTGCTTTGGTCACTGAGGTATATTTTAATGATTTGTTATTTCTTTGCCTTTGACTTATTTCCTTAGTTTCTGAAGAAGTAAAGGTAAATGAAGAGGTCAAAAGACATTGAAGTTAGTTAGCTGTTTGGAAGTTTGCATTTTGATGCAAAGTAGACGATAAAGCAAAGAAATCTGATTATGGTGACCACTCAAGATAATTAAGAGTTGCCACTCTTAAGATAATTATCCTCAATAATATCATCCTCATAATATCTGAAGATAAGAAAGTTGGCATCATTCAACACCAAATACACCAATTTGGCAATAGCCAGTTAATGAGGGGGAGATTCAGACCTTGGTATTTCACATTGAACAAAAAATAATCTTGCAGATTTTAAAATAAATATTGGTTTAGTTCAAAATTGATATATTATGTCCTTGTGGGGTTGGCCAGCTAAATGACCACGAGGCAAGGACCCTTGAGAGCCATCAGGCTTGGCTATGCAAATTTGAATTTAAAGAAAGTGGTGGAAGGTTATTTGGTACTTTTGTTATTAGATAGATATTATTTTTCAACCTAAAATAGTAAGCAAGAGTGAAAGCGGGGGAAGCAGGAGAGGGGAGGGGAGGGGAAGAAGGAATTGTTGAACTTTTTTTGTATAATGCCCTAAAGTTTACAGACATAAAGTAAGAGAGCCAATGTAGTAACCAGGGAACTATATTTAATTAATAATCAACTATATTTAATTAATAGGTCGCTCTAATTTTTTTCTGATTTACTATCGAATAAATATCTCATAGGTGACAAAACAAAGAAGGTACAGAGATTTATGTTTGGTGCTTCCTTTTTGAAAAGAGAATTGCAAAGCCTTATGTCTTTATGTATATCTGTGTGTGTTTGCACACACATATGTAGTAGTATTTTCACCTTGCCTGCCAGCAATACCTGTATGTGTGTGTCTCGCTCTCAGATCTCTCTCTCTCCATATATGTATGTATGTATATATGTGTGTATGTATGTGTATATGTGTGTGTGCATACACACACATACATACACACACACACACACACACACACATATATATATATATATATATATATATATATATATATATATATATGTCACTCAACCCTTGGGACTGGAAATTATTTCCTCATCTCCAAATCTGGCATGTCTTTCACTATGATAGTCCCCTTTGTCTTCTGTGCCCAGTATGCTAATGACATTCCTCATGGCTTGTGGCCTTGGTATTTGACACTGCCATGTGTAGTCCTAATCTATATTGGGGTCAGGATTAGACAGGCCTGGAGGACGGTAGTGGCAGAGGTGATCTGAAATAGCACATGATCCAAAAACTATATTTGAATTACATTAGGTTTATATTTAAATATAACTGTCAGCTCTCCCAGTCTTCCACCACCCAGACCAAGGCTGCTTTCCACACTCCATCATGAGAACCTTCCTACTTTACCAAATACCTTAGTCCCCTGTTTCGAAGCAGTTTTACCTTCTAGTCAACAAGTGTTGAAACTTTCACCATGTGCTCCGTTATGTATTTCAAGCTTCACCTCAGCATGACATTGTACTTCAGTCTAATTTCCCAGTCTTTTTTCACCCAATTTCTAGAGCAGTGGGTTTTATGTTGGTGCACAAGAATATTACACAAGAATCATTTGGGGGATCTTGGGACCCATCTTCGGAAATTCTGATTTAATAATTCCATGGTAGGGACAAGGCATCTGTATTTTATTTTGTTAAGTTTTTTTTTTTAATTCTTAAGTAATCTCTACAACCAATGTGGGACTTGAACTTATAACCCCAAGATCAAGAGTTGCATGCTGCTCTGACCGAGTCAGCCAGGTGCCCCAAGTAATCTGTATTTTAAACAAGATTCCCCAGATGGTTCTTAAGTAGGGAGTGTCTCTACAGTCCATAGTTTGAGAAATACTGGTCTTGAGGAAGAGATTTTCCTTTCTAAAATTTCCACTTGAATTGTGATGCCCATTCTTCTATCTCTGAAACTCACTCTGGCACTTACTGTGTTATATATGTCATTTTCAGGTTTTTCTCTTCATAAACTTCATAAAATCTCTATTTCAAATATTTAAAATAAAAGAAGAAAAGCCTCTGCTATTCCTTCTAGGTGCTGTGCAATCTTTTCCTTTCCTTTAGCTGTCTGAATAGTAGTGTGTGTTCCCTAGCTCTCTTTCTTTTCTGCCCTAAATCTAAAATTTATTGCTACCCATATTGACCATTTATCAGTTCCCCTTTGTTCTTAATTTCGGCTATCTTTTGTTCTGTTGATCAGCCTTTGCTTTTGAGTCTCCTCCATGACCAGTAAACACTGCCTTCTAGTGGTTCTTTTTCTTCCTGTTACCCCCCACCCCCATCCTTAATAAAATTTCCATCAAGGTGTTCATTCTTTACCCCCTCCTTGAATTCAGAAGACAGAAACAACTCCTGAAAATGTTGGGTTTCAGGGAATAACCAGACTAAGACTTTAAAAGTTGCAGGAGATATTTTAAATACCTAGAAAATATAACAAAGTGTAAAATGTTTGCTCAGCATTTTATGGTTCAAAAATCTTTTAAGACTTAGAATTTTCATAATCTTTTTTGAGAAAGGCTTTTATAAATTATGGTTTCTTGTTTAATGACCATTTTTAACTAAATAGAACACCAAAGCGTATGGAACAGCCAAATAATCTCCCAAATTATTGTAGTAGTCATATATATAAAGATCTTTCCTCTGCTTGTTTTCTTATCTCAGAGTGGCAGGGCAGAGGAGAGGACCGAGTAATTATGGAGACGCCTCTGATGTGGACTTTTTACTTTCACAGAAGCAAACAAACAAACAAAAAAGTTCATTTTCAATGTTTCCTTCACTGGGGCTCCAGGATAAATTTTCTCTATCATTTAGTGGAAAGTCTGATATAAGAAATTGAGTAATAGTACCCTACTAATAATTAGCACAGTTCTTCTCCCCTTGTTTCCCAGTTTGACAATCATTTAGTCCTAAAAGATACTAGTGTGGGGATGGGGAAAAAGTATTGCCTAAAACTAAGGAAAAAAATACTCTTAGTAAAGATGAATACTAAGTTGAGTTGCCTTTAAGAAAAGAAGAAAAATTTTTATAACATTCTTTCTTTTAAATGCGAGCCTGAGGAGAATTAGGATGTTTTGGTCATTTATGAGCAGGAAAACATTTCCAAACAACATGAGTACAGATAAAATAAGGCCTCCAAGAATTCCACAGGTATTTTATTATCCCTGTCCATTTCTTTGGTGTTTTTGTTTTGTTTTGTTTTGGTAATTAGATACCTGAGTTCAAATATGAGTAAGGTATTATGCTTTTGAAGGCTAGAAAAAGGCCTAAAGATATTTAGGACATTTGTGCTCAAAGATTCAGAAACAGAGTTGTTCAGATAATATAGTAATACTCTAATACGTGGTATTTTTTCAGCTAAAATGTAGCCTTAACTAACAAAGAATGGATTACCAATAGAAATCAACTAATACATTTGATTCCTTTGATGGCCAGATGGCCAGAAGTTGTTCCTTCAGAATTAATAATGTCTAATACAAATCCCTCAATAATATCCTTCAAAGAAATATGCTAAAGTGATAAAGTCTTTAAGCCAAACCTTAGCAATTCCTTTGTTGGCTAACTTTTCTCCCAGACTTTATTCAAAGAGTTACAACAATGCTATGCTTAATATCAAAGCCATTATAACAATTTATTTTATTTTTCTTAAATTCTCAAAATTATCATTTTAAATAACTTTTATATATTCATTGGAAGTATGTTCCCTGAACTATTTGTTTTAATAATAGAGTGTTTATTGTGATATTGATTTTGATGATGACTTTAAGAAAGTAGGCTGCCATTTTTTCTAACAGTGATCATATCAAATCCAATTGGGATTTTAGGACATTAGAATCTGATTTTTTCTTACAGAATTTTAAAGCTAGGAAATCACCAAACACAAAACCTTCATTTTATATGTGTGAAAACTAAGTCCCAGAAAGAGTAAATAACTTATCCAGAGTCATATAGTTAATTAATGGCAGAGCTGGGGCTAAACCTCCAGTCTCCTGACTCTTCCAGTTAAATACTTACTGACTGAAGTAATCCCAGAGCTGTGTCATTTTCCTATGAGAGTTTTGTTAGATTACAGAAATACCATGACAGTTTTAAGAAATCCATAATTTCATTCATATACATTGCATATCCTCAATAGTTTTTCTGTTTAGCTCACATTTCCCACAATAATAAAAATGTTTTCAAACAAAGTTAAACTAAGTTTGTGTTTATAAAATGTGCTTTCTGTATAAGGTATGTGAATCTTTAAGGATTTGCCAAAGATCCTACCACTTTGCGTATAAACTGGCATCTACTCATACCTCGTTTTGGTTTTGCTAATATAGCAAAATAAGCTGCTAGACTAAAAGTTTAAGTAGTGATAAAATTCAAGAAGCCATGTTTTGTGGTGCACAAGACAAGGATATCCATATAAAGGTAAAGAAGCAATATTTAAGAATGAATATGGAAATCTTAGGAATCTGTCCATAAACAAGTTTTTTTTTCATAAACAAATCTATATTTTTCTCCTATGATGCCACATTCAGGATTAAGACAAAAAAAATATCATCAGGAAATTTATGCCATGAAAAAGTATTCAGCTGATGCAAAAATTAACTTAAAAATAAAAAAAACCACAACTGCTTAGTTAAAAAAAAAAACCTGCAGTTTTTAATGCCATTCTCTTGCTTTGTTATTCATATATATTTAACTTTTTATTTATTTTTATTTTTTTAAAGATTTTATTTATTTATTTGACAGAGAGAGATCACAAATAGGCAGAGAGGCAGGCAGAGAGAGGAGGAAGCAGGCTCCCCGCTGAGCAGAGGACCCGATGTGGGGTTCGAACCCAGAACTCTGGGATCATGACCTGAGCCAAAGGCAGAGGCTTTAACCCACTGAGCCACCCAGGCACCCCTATATTTAACTTTTTAAAAATATTTTATTTATTTACTTGAGAGAGAGAGAGTGTGAGAGAGAGCATGAGAGAGGAGAGGGTTAGGGGGAGAAGCAGACTCCCCGATGAGCAGGGAGCCTGATATGGCACTCAATTCCAGGACTCCAGGATCATAACCTGAGCCAAAGGCAGTCGCTTAACCAACTGAGCCAACCAGAAGCCCTATATTTAGCTTTTAAGGAAAACCTGATTTTACTGACTTATCCTGATTTAAGACATTGTACATATTCTTTTGGGGGGCACTAAAGATTTATTTATTTATTAAAAGTATAAATATACAGTGTTATGTTTGTTTCAGGTGTACAATATAGTGATTCAACAATTCTGTACATTACTCAGTGCTCCTCACACTAAGTGTACTCTTAATCCCCTTCACATACTTTACCTATCCTCCCAAACACTACCCTTCTGATAACCATCCATTTGTTCTCTGTACTTAAGTCTGTTTTTTTGTCTCTTTTTCTCTTTTTGTTCATTTGTTTTGTTTCTTAAGTTCCACATATAAGTGATATTATATGGTATTTGTCTTTCTCTCTCTGACTCTTTTCATTTAGCATGATACTCTCTGGGTCCATCCATATTGTTGCAAATGATAAGATCTCAGTCTTTTTCATGGCTGAGTAATATGCCAGTGTGTGTGTGTGTGTGTGTGTGTGTGTGTGTGTGTGTGTGTGTGTGTATGTGTACCACATCTTCTGTTATTCATATTTAGAGGTGATATTCTTTCTCAAGAATTACTATTATATAAATAAACTGTCCAGACTTTGTATCCAGTATCTACTCATCATTGCTGTATGCTAAACTTTCTGCCTGTCTGGCTAGTACTCAAAAATGAATTTTAAAAGAGTATGTCAATTGTAAACAGGTAAATTTATTTCTATTTCAATAATTCTTCTAATTGCATTATGAATATGCTTCAACTAGACATAATTGTATACATTTTACAGGTTTGTAGTAAGTTTGTTATACAACTGCTTAATGTTCATGTCATTGTTTCTTTTCTATAAATGACTATACTCTATCCAGGAAAATTGTGACATGTTTATTCTTTTGGTAAATGACACTTAGATTCCTCCCATGGAAAGTCTAATGAAACAAGGCAGATTGGAAATGCCATTCTAGATAGTTGAATGCTTGCCTACTTTTCCAAGAAGATTGACAATTTTTGTTCTACATTTTTGTAGGATCCAACTGGAATATTCTCACTGGATAAAACAATTGGCCTTGGTACTTATGGCAGGATCTATTTGGTAAGTGGAGTTAGATTGTGTATTGGTTCTTCATTTTCTAATAACAATGATTGCAAGTGAAAACCCTACACTGCCGAGCAAATAATGACAAAAGCATTTCACTTTGAGAGATGAATCAAACTAAGATAGCTCAGTGATATCTGTGAGAATTATTACAGAGGAAATGGATTGGAAATCTATAGTGAACCAACAAACCAAACATAAGGTCTATAAAATTATTAGCAGAAAATAACATAGTTTAAAAATAAAAATTTCAAAAAATAAAAATTATTAGCATGAAATTAATAAAATTAGCAACAGAAAGGGGAATTAATTCAAATAAGATGTACCCAAATAAAAATATCATTTGTTTTATGTTATACATCTGTGCCTTTCAAATTACATTCAACCTTTAAACTGAATGTTAAAAAAATGAACATTTTCACAAGTTCTATATCATACTGTGTGTATGTGTGTGCACACATGTGTGACAGAGTTAGCGAAATAATCTGACAAGAAAAACTCTGCATTTATTTAATGATTATTATGCACAAAACATGTGCTGAGCACTGTCATAGTCTCTGGAGTCAAAGTAATGATGTTCTTCAGGGCTTATGATCCCTGCTCTTCAGGGCTTATGGTCTCGAAATGTGTAAGTAATTAAATGTATGTATGTGTTTGGGAAGGATTGGGAGAGGTACATATAATATATATGTTAAGTGCACAAATCACCATATATTTGCAGTTATAATATATTCCTTGTGTGGTCATTGAATATCATGTTGATGTATTCTAGGTAAAGCAGGGATACTGTTGAGGGCTGGCTTGGAAATGGGGTTATTTAAAGGCCCTATCACCTTCATCACCTTCCCCTACTCTCCAGTATGGGGATTAGATGTTTTCTCAGTCTTTTATGAGGCTCTGTACAAATGCAGTGTTCCTTTTCCCTAAGTCTGTCCCTCAAAAACCAAATCGCAGTCCCTAGGCTGATCCTTACTGTAGACTAACCACAGGTCCTCTACGTTCAGTTGTATAGAGCTGTCCTGGTATAGGTCCAGTGGAAGGGGCTTCTCTCTAGTTTAGGCAAGTTTGCCCTCTGCTTGCCAATCCTTGAACCTTTAGCTTGCATCTGCCTAGAAGGGGCTTAAAAAAAAATCATGTACCTAAGTTCAAAATTTGCACGAAAGTACTTATAGCACCAAAACCAAGTAGTAAATGTAGCTTTGTGGAAAGTTCCTAAAAGCAGAAAGAACCTGTGAGTATAGGGAACAGAGAGAATGCCAATATTTATGACATTTTTAAAAACCATTTTGATTTTATCTTTTAACAGAAGCAATACGCTATAGACAGTGATATCATACAAACACGAATATGTTGTTTATGCAACCTCACTTGCCTCTCAGACTGAATGATTAGATAACAATTGTGTGATCTAGGTGAATTTTGCCACTATATACATCTATATTTACACCTATATATATAGAAGTTCTTCTTCACTTCTTTATACTTACAATCCCTATGACTCCATACCCATTTTAATTCCTGAGGGGTGTGCATGTGTGTGTGTGTGTGTAAGTGTGTTTCTGTATTTGTTTTTATTTGAAGGAATACAGCTCTCCACCACCAGATTTTAGGAATAAAAACATCAGTCATATGAGGTAAAAAGCAAAGGTAAGGTTAGGTAATACAAAAAGATGGTTTCTCATTGTCTGTCATCAGAACTGGTTTGCCATAAAAAGAAGAAAAGTCAAGAGAGTAAAAGCTGAGGTGTGCATGGTAATTCTTTTTTTTTTAAGACTAGGGTTTATTGGGGTATAGTTTACATTTGGTAAAATTCGCCTTTCTAAATACATAATTCTATGAGTTTGGACTAGTCATAGTAGTCATTTAGTCATGTAACTATCACCAGAATCAAGATTTTTCCAACATACATTTTAAATACACAGTATACCTTCAAGAAATATTATTCAAGTAATTCACTGTGTGGTAACCAGCTTGTATAGTTTATATTAATTATATATTTTATGTGTGATATAAACCCACAATACTACTACTTTTTTCCCTATGTTCAATACTATTACTTTTTATTTAGTTAATTATCTTTTAGAGCAATTAAAAAGAAGAAAAATTGTATTTTTATTCATTTGAACCATTTCTGGAATTTTAGTTTCTTTGGGAAAATCCAAGTTTCTATACTTCTTAAGCCTGAAGAATTTTCTGTAATAGGTAATGCAGTGCAGGGCTTCTGGTAATGAGTTCTCTGGCTTGGTTTGTGTGGAAGTCTCTCATTTCCTCTTCATTTTTGAAATATATTTACACTGGATATAGAATTTTATATTGATAGTTTGTTTTTCTTTCAACACTTTACACTCTATTGTCTTCTGGATTGCATGGTTTCTGAAGTGTACTATCATTCTTATCTTTGCTCCTTTGTATTTTTCTTCTTACTGATTTTAAGACTTTTTGCTTTAACTTTGTTTTTTTTAGCAGTTTAAATATGAAATGTCTAGGCTTTTTTTTGTTTGTTTTTTACGTGTGTGTGTGTGTGTGTGTGTCTTTGGTGGGCTATTTATCATCCTTGGTGTTCTCTGAACTTTTGGATATTTGTAATTTGACATATTTTATTTGGGGGGGGTTTCTTGACCTTTTTCTCTTCTTTTTTTTTTTTTTTTTTTTTTTTTTGCTTCTCTTCTCCTTGTGGGAAACCAGTTTTATATTTCTTAAGCCATTTTATATTAACTCATAGCTCTTGGATGCTCTATTTTGTTTCTTACATGTGTGTGTATGTGTTCATATGTTTATTTGCTTTTATTCTCTTTCCTCTTTGTGTTTCACTTGGGTCCATTATTTCCTATCTTCAGTTTTACTGATTCCTCTCTCAGCTTTCTTTTTTTTTTTTTTTTAAAGATTTTTTTTATTTTTTTTACAGAGAGAGAGATCACAAGTAGACGGAGAGGCAGGCAGAGAGAGAGAGAGAGAGAGGGAAGCAGGCTTCTTGCTGAGCAGAGAGCCCGATGTGGGACTCGATCCCAGGACCCTGAGATCATGACCTGAGCCGAAGGCAGCGGCTTAACCCACTGAGCCACCCAGGCGCCCCCTCTCTCAGCTTTCTTGAGCCAACTGATGAGACTGCCAAAAACATTTTTTAGCTCTTTTACTGTTTATCATTTCTAGTATTTTCACTTGACTTTTTTATAGTTAACATTATTGCTGAAAGCCCCATTTGTTCATGCATGTTTTCCATATGTTTCACTACAACTTTTCACATATTAATTATAGTCACATTAAATTTTCTGTCTCATACTTTGAATATCCAAGTCATCTCTAAAGCTGGTTATATAGATTGCTTTGTCTCTTGAGAGTGAGGTGTTTTTTTTTTTCTTGATTATTTGTTTCTCAAAATGTTTGTTTGAATGACAGACATTGCTGGTAGAACAGTAAAGATTGAAGTAAATAGTAATTATGCCTTGAAATGGGCACATTTGTTCTTCTAGGTCATTAATATGGGAGGTTGAGTCAATCTAATAAGATGTGCTATGTTTGGATTATGTTGTTGCTATGGTTACCCTCAATTCATCACCAGCTTCAAGTTACTCTGTTACCCTGTGCTTAACATGGTGGTGGGATTCTCCATTTTCCTGCTCTACCCTCAGCTTTGGACCTCCCTTGTGCATCTGTGCTTCAAAGAGATTCTCTCTTCATGCTCCTGTGCCTCCCTAATGGTATGTTGGTTTTCCTTCTTATGAAGTGCTTGTTAGCCTGGGACAGGGAAGAATTCTCTATTTTCTTTTTGGTGTGGGACAGGGAGGAATTCTCTGTTTTCTTGATTCAAACTCAGCCTTAGGCAGGTCCTGTGCCTCTGGGTCATGGAAGTGGGACTTTCTTAGTTATTCTTTCCCTCTGCTAGTGTTAAGACACTTCTTAATGGTCTGGGCCCAGGACTAATTCCTGCCCCTCCCCAGAAGTAGAGGAATTATTTTTGTTTTTATATTTCCGCCAACTGAAGTAGATCTTCCTCTGTCCCCCTGGGCAGAACAGTTTGCTGCCTTTTCTTAAAGCTTAGGGCCCTTATTACTTAGGGAGAAGGGAATTGGACATGGTTTCATGCTTTTCCTACTGCAATGGCTTCTGCTCTCTACTAGGTCAGTACTGTAAATCCATAGAGAAAAGCCTGTGAGTGTGTATAAATTCCTCTTATCTATGGCTCCCAAGGGTATTGTACTCTCAGGGTAGCCCATACTTGGCATTTAGCAGTTCATTAAAAATTTAGCTGAATTCTTTATACCATCTTCTATGATGACCTTGCCTTTCCCCTGCAGCCACAGATGAGCCTGTGAGAGATGTTCCATCTCTCCTTGTAGATGTTTATCTTTCTTCAGGCATCAGACTAGGTTGTTGCCTTGAGACTTCACTCTGGGTTCAATAAAAGTTATGATTATGTAGATTATTCAGCTTTTTCTTGTTGCTAGGTTTGGGGTGGCACTCTTTCCAGCTTTCCACATTCTTATCAGGAGCCAGAAGTCCATGTCAATTCCTTTTAACGGAATCTTCATGAAGTATCTACCTACCATATGCTAGGTCCTATACACATTTGCAATTCCTAAGAATTTTATATGTACCTATTCAGATCCAGAGATAGAGAACACTTTCCACCAACAGATCTTCAAAGCAGAAACTTCTATGTTACAGAAGGGAGATGATTACAGGTGCTTTACTTACATTAGACATATTTTCCTTTGTCACTCATTGCTGTGACCTCTTTTTTTCTACCTCAAATTAATGCCCTTATGTAAAAAGCCTTGGGATGGTGTTACTGTAAATCAATACCTCCTTCCTGGATAATAATCTTGAGTATATAGAAAATGCTTTTAAAATATTCATACTTTTTATACCAATAATCCCACTTTTGGAAATCTATGATAAACACTGAAAATGTAGAAAAAGCATAAAGTTTTATTTTAGTAGAAAGGTGTGGCATATTGTACTGAAAAGAGGGCTTCCTTTGGAATCAGGCAGACCTG